GGGGGGGGGGAACGTGCAGATCTGTCCTGGCAGAGGAGGGAGAGCTTGTACCTGAATAAAACTTGGTCTTAAAGGTGCCACTGGACTCTTTTGGACCGGGGTGCCTGGGGGAGCTCTGCAACTTACCTGGCTGCTTCTTGCTCTGGCTGAGGGCTGCTGAGAGCAGGGGGTGGGGCTTGTTGCATGTGCCCGCCCCCTGGGCTCTTTACTGCCGGAGCTCCACTCCTGTGCGCTCCTGCAGGAAATGACCCCTGCATCTGGCCTCTTCCTTGTGGACACCCTCACCCTGCCCCTCTGCATTCTGCTGGCTCGACAACTGCTAACTGTCTCTCCTCTCCCCGTCCCCAGGCATTTCTGCCCCTGCTGAAGACGGCAGCTGAGAGGAGTCCTCTGCAAGGACTGAGCTGCAGCAAGGCGGCCGTGGTCAACATATCCAGCACTGGAGGCTCCATAGGTCTCATGTTCCTCTGGGAAAAGATGCAGCGGGTCGGCTATCGCTGCAGTAAGGTACCTGTCGCGAAACCCGCATGAGATTCCTGATGGCAGCGAGGAAAGAATACCCCCTACCTCGATTTGTTTCTGTGATGATTTTGGTGTGCAATCAACATGCGACTTTTTACTACTTATTTGTGAGGACGTAGCATGCCTTGTGGTTGCGCTTCTGTGGTGGGCATGTCATGTTTCCGGGCAGCAGGGCGAGAAGAGGCTTTGCCAGTCTTTGCCAGCATTCCAAGAGTGGTGTAAAGACGGCAGCGCAGTCTCTGCACAACGAATGAGCTCGTAAGCGCACAGGGCCAAACGTAAAGCTAAGAAATAAGTTTGCAAAAACCTCTCAACCACACAGGCTGCTGCTCATGTCGCTGCGGATGTCCATCAACAATAACATCCGAGAGGATCACAGAATGCTCATGCAAATCCCACGGCGCATGACAGTCACAATCTCAAAGGGAGAATAATTGATTTGCCCTGCCTATAAAGTATTGCAAGGTCTAATTTCTTGCTCTGGGAAAGTTTGGCTGGAGATGAAACAAGTATGTATTCTTCCCTTGTTCATGCCTATGTTTTTTGTATTTTTGTGTGTGTGTGTGCACGTACACCTGGAGGTCATGGTGACCTCTGGTGACTGACCCCTACTGGAGGGACCTAGAGGATATTCAGAGAGGTGACTGAATGAAGCCTGCCCCTGTCTTCCCGCTTCTGGTATTCCAAAGAGGTCTCTCATCTAAGTACTAACTGCAGTCAACCCCACTTAGCTTCTGAGATATGATGAGATCGGGCTTGCCTGGGCTATCCAGGTCAGAGCCCCTTGCTCATTCCCGCCACTCCACCTCCCTCTTTTCTTGTCGTCGACCTGGTCTAAGATTTTAGGTTTTCCGATTCTTGAGAGCAGAGATTTCTAATCTGCAAAGTACTATTATTTTTATTTATCTACAAAATCTGTATCCTGCCTTTCTGCCCTTACAGTGGCCAGCGAGGCAGAAAACAATTTAGAACATACAAGATAAAATCACACTTTATAATCAACCCCCCCAGCATATACTATTAAAATAATATTTTAAAAGAGTTAAAATACATTCAAAACATAAAAAACGGCAATCCAAACAGTACCCGCATGAGATTCCTGATGGCAGCGAGGGAAGAATACCCCCTACCTTGATTTGTTTCTGTGATGGCCTTTCCACCTTGATTTTGGTGTGCAATCAACATGCGACTTTTTACTACTTATTTGTGAGGACGCAGCATGCCTTGTGGTTGCACTTCTGTGGTGGGCGTGTCATGTTTCCGGGCAGCAGGGCGAGAAGAGGCTTTGCCAGTCTTTGCCAGCATTCCACGAGTGGTGTAAAGACGGCAGCGCAGTCTCTGCACAACGAATGAGCTCGTAAGCGCACAGGGCCAAACGTAAAGCTAAGAAATAAGTTTGCAAAAACCTCTCAACCACACAGGCTGCTGCTCATGTCGCTGCGGATGTCCATCAACAATAACATCCGAGAGGATCACAGAATGCTCATGCAAATCCCACGGCGCATGACAGTCACAATCTCAAAGGGAGAATAATTGATTTGCCCTGCCTATAAAGTATTGCAAGGTCTAATTTCTTGCTCTGGGAAAGTTTGGCTGGAGATGAAACAAGTATGTATTCTTCCCTTGTTCATGCCTATGTTTTTTGTATTTTTGTGTGTGTGTGTGCACGTACACCTGGAGGTCATGGTGACCTCTGGTGACTGACCCCTACTGGAGGGACCTAGAGGATATTCAGAGAGGTGACTGAATGAAGCCTGCCCCTGTCTTCCCGCTTCTGGTATTCCAAAGAGGTCTCTCATCTAAGTACTAACTGCAGTCAACCCCACTTAGCTTCTGAGATATGATGAGATCGGGCTTGCCTGGGCTATCCAGGTCAGAGCCCCTTGCTCATTCCCGCCACTCCACCTCCCTCTTTTCTTGTCGTCGACCTGGTCTAAGATTTTAGGTTTTCCGATTCTTGAGAGCAGAGATTTCTAATCTGCAAAGTACTATTATTTTTATTTATCTACAAAATCTGTATCCTGCCTTTCTGCCCTTACAGTGGCCAGCGAGGCAGAAAACAATTTAGAACATACAAGATAAAATCACACTTTATAATCAACCCCCCCAGCATATACTATTAAAATAATATTTTAAAAGAGTTAAAATACATTCAAAACATAAAAAACGGCAATCCAAACAGTTTAGGAAGGAGGGATCATTGATGGAATGCCATATGGAACAAAAAAGTCTTCACCCACTGGCAGAAGATGGCAACAGAAGGGGATAGGGATGCCAGCTTCCAGGTGGGACCTGGAGATCCCCTGGGATTACAGCTCATTTCTAAGGATCAGTTTCCCTGGAGACAATGGATGCTTTGGAGGGTGGACTCTATGGCATTGTACCCCACTGAGGTCCCTGTCCTCCCCAGGCTCCATCCCCAAATCTCCAAGAGTTTCCCAACCTGGATCTGGCAACCCGACACCACCATCCTCCACTGGGGGCCAGTGGGGTCCTGGCAACCCTACAAAAAATCTCCCTGGGAGAGTTCTAAAGCTTTGGTGCCACTACGGAGAAGGCCCTGTTTTGGGTTGCCCACCTGCCTAATCTTAGAAGGAGGGGCTACCCAAAGCAAGGCCTCCGAAGAGGACTCTAGTGCTTGGGCAGGTTCATAATTCTGTACCTTTCTCTGTAATCCTGTTTCTTAAAAGGAAGTTGGTTTCCTTTTGTGAGCATACCCAGGTGGCGGAGAAAGGCAGGTCCATATTTCCCTCGGGTACAGCAGCCACTGTGGTGAACCGTCCTTGCAAACAGCAGAACTTGCCAAGGTCTTGAGGGCAGTGCTAGGGCTGGACAAAAGGACCCCCCGCCAAGGACCTTACAGGCTGAAAAACACTGCTTCCAATCTTCGTGGTTAGTGCTGTATGGAAGAGGTGGCCCAAGTCAAAGCAAGCGGGTCAACGTCCAAGCCCTAAAAAAGATAATGGGCGCTGTTATACGTTTTCTGTCTTATTCAGACCCAACTTCTGTGCTAGTCAGGCATATCCTTGGATTTTTCTCCATTTCCTGAGAACAAGCACTTTTTGTATTTTTGTGTGTGTGTGTGCACCTGCACCTGCACCTGGAGGTCATGGGGACCTCTGGTGACTGACCCTACTGGAGGGGCCTAGAGGATATTCAGAGAGGTGACTGAATGAAGCCTGCCCCTGTCTTCCCGCCTCTGGTATTCCGAGGAGGTCTCTAATCCAAGTACTAACCGCAGTCAACCCCACTTAGCTTCTGAGATATGATGAGATCGGGCTTGCCTGGGCTATCCAGGTCAGGGCCAGTGTTCCCTCTAAGCTGAGTTAGTGTGAGCTAGCTCACAATTTTTTAGCCTCTGGCTCACACATTTTTGTCTTAGCTCAGGAAGGATGGCTCCAGAGCAAACCAATTTATGCAGCAGCCAAATCTCCTGCTCACAGCTTTAATGCCAATAGCTCACAAAGTAAAATTTTTGCTCACAGGGCTCCATAGCTTAGAGGGAGCATTGGTCAGGGCCCCTTGCTCATTTCTTTTCTTGTCGTCGACCTGGTCTCAGATTTTAGGTTTTCCGATTCTTGAGAGCAGAGGTGCCGGAACTCTCAAGAGGGAAATGAAGTTTTCGATCTGTATACTGAAAACTCATGAACTTTTAAACATTTTAAAAATAATTTTGTCAGAGAGGTTCCGGAACTCTGCTCCAGCGAGTTCCCCCAGAAAAAAAAGTCCTCCATATCTGCTCACTGAGGACACACACATCTGACAGAATGGGTGCTAGTCCACGAAAGCTTTTGCCGGGAGAAAAATCTGTGAGTCTTCAAGGTGCTGCCGAGGTTCTGTTCTTTGGCTGTAGCTTTCTAGCACAGTCTGCCCTGTGGAGTGCCTGAGATGATGATCGCCTAGCTGTAATTCTCCTTAGTGTTTAATTGCTGGTTCCTACATTTCCTTGTTTTCTGCGGGGTCCCAGCTTCTTAAGGGGTTTCACGCCTCCTGTTCCATTTTAGGCCCCACGGCAGAGTAAGGTGGAGTCACTGGTAGTGATTTATCTGATGCTTCCCTCCCACGCCTTTTCCCTCTGTGCATTCTCTTCTCATGGTGTGTGTGTGTGTGTGCATTTTTCCCCTGTAGGCTGCTCTGAACATGCTCACCAAATGCCAGTCACGGGTGTACCAAGACTATGGAATTCTGTGCCTTTGCATCCATCCTGGCTGGGTGAAAACCGGAACAGCAGAGGTAACCGCTTTAACCTTTGAACAGTTACTTACTTATTTGAATGCATGTTTGATCCGGCCCTTTCTGGTGGTGTACGTGGTTCTCCCCCCTCTCCATTTTATCCTCACAGTGACCCTGGGAAGTAGGTTAGGATGAGAGAAAATGACTCAGCCAGTTTGGTGCAGTGGTTAGGAGCATGGACTTTAATCTGGGAGAGCCGGGTTTGATTCCCCACTCCTTCACACTCCTTCACGTGCAGCTGCTGGTGTGACCTTGGGTCAGTCATAAGTTCCTTCAGAGCTGTTCTCTCAATGGCAGTTCTTGAGAGAGCTCTCTCAGCCACACCTACCTCACAGGGTGTCTGTTGTTGGGGGGAAGGGAAAGGGATTGTAAACCGCTCTGAGACTCTTTCAGGTAGTGAAGGGCAGGGTATACTAGATCCAATCTCTTCTCTCTTCTTCTTTATGACCCAACCACTAAGTCTCAGGGCAAGAGGTGATCTGAACTTGGGTTTCCTTGGTCCTAAGCTAACACTCTAAACCCTTCCACCGTGCTAGTTCAAGAAAGGGGGGGACACACGCCCACATGTGCATAGAAAACCAACGCTGGATCCCCTAAAAGAACCTGGGCGTTTTAGTCTTCTGTTGATTCATACAGATGAGAAAGGAGGAATGGAGATTTGGGGGAAGCAAACTGAGCAATGCACAACTAGGTCTGCGTCCTTCATTGGGGATGCGAAAATGTCCCCTGTTGGTATCCCTGCTAGCTTCAGTTGCGGGTGGCATTTGTAGATAAGTGGCAGAACAGAACAGGCTGTCTGCACGTCATGGGGCCCAAGAAGAAGAAGAAGAGATTGGATTTATACCCCGCCCTTCACTTGGAGTCTCAGAGCGGTTTACAAACTCCTTTCCCTTCCCCTCCCCACAACAGACACCCTGTGAGGTGGGTGGGGCTGAGAGAACTCTGACACAAACTGCTCTTTTTCAAGGACAGCTGTGCCAGAGCTTGTGACTGACCCAAGGTCACATCAGCAGGTGCAAGTGGAGGAGTGGGGAATCAAACCTGGTTCTCCCAGATTAGAGTCCGCGCACTTAACCACTACACCAAACTGGCTCACCAAGCTGAATTCCTTTGGGTCTCAAAGACATTAGAAACCCACAGGAGAGGCACAGGATGCTTGAGGATCCGCCTTGTGGATAATATTCCAGACTGCTCTCAAAGCAGGTTGGTCAGATTTCTGCTGGAGCAGAGCCGCTTCCCATCAGTATGAAGACTTTACCGGCTCTGTATCAGGCACAGCCCCTGCTGCAGGGAGCCACACAACACCATCAAAACATCCAGCCCTTCCAGGGTTTGCGTACATAGTTGGTGCTTTTCCATCCCACCCTTCAAGGAGCTCAGGGCAGCATGCACAGCTCTCCCATCCTCCATTTTATCCTCACAACAACCCTGTGAGGTAGGGTGGGCTTAAAGAGGATGACTGACCCAAGCTCATCCAGTAACATCCTTTTTTCTTTTTGGTGAGTATTTGTGTGTGTGTGTGTCCACATGCCTGGAAGTCATGGTTGACTTCTGGCAGCCCCTAGTGGGGCGTGGACGTTCAGAGAGGTGGCTGTGATATTACCTGCCTCTGCATCCCCGGCCCTGGTATTCCTTGGAGGTCTCCCATCCATGTACTTGCCAGGGTTGGTCCTACTTAGCTTAACTTCCAAGATCTGATGAGACCAGGCTTGCCCGGGCTACCCAGGTCAGAGTCTCATCCAGCAGCTTTTATGGCAAGCGGGGATCTGAAACTTGGTACCCCCCAGTCTTAATCCAGCATTCTAATCACTGCATCACACGACAGTACTAGACAGTGCCTGAATTGGCAGGCATGCCCCCCTCCACACACGGCTAACAAGATTTGTTTTTTTGCGGCAGGCAGATCTGACCGAGGAAGAGAACGCACGAGGAATCGTTCATGTCCTTGCCACGCTTTCTGAGAAGGATAACGGGACCTTTGTGGACTGGGAAGGACGCCCACTTCCTTGGTGAAAGATTTCCCTCACGCCACCCAAGGGCTTCTGACAGAATCCCCAATAAACCACCTGAGCTCTGAAATAAAATGTCTTTAGCGTTTTCATTCTCTCCCCCCCCCCCAAATATATTCAACATAAGAATCGGGGCAGGGAGAAACATGAGGCCTGGTTGGTCATTCCCAAGGTGACATGGCTTCAACTTAACGCAGCTGCAGGCCTACCACTTCCCAAACAAGCTTGTTGATCAAGTGGGTATGATCCTCAGGCTGCCTTCAGACTACTTGCCAAGTGTTTTTAGGAAGTGGGCATAGTAGGGTTGTCAGGTCCCCCCTGGCCACCGGTGGGGCTTCGGAGGGGTAGGGTTGCCAGATCCAGGTGGGGAAGGTTCTGGAGATTTGAGGATGGAGCCTGGGGAGGACAGGGACCTCAGCAGGGTACAATGCCAGAGAGTCCACCTTCCAAAGCATCCATTTTCTGCAGGGGAACTGATGTCTGTAGTCTGGAGATGAGCTGGAATCCCGGGGGATCCCCAGGCCCCACCTGGAGGCTGGCATCCTGAGGTACAGCCAAGTGAGGCTTTTGCCCAGCAAGGCTTTGGGTTGGCCACTGGAGATTTAATTGGCTGTGCAGATTTTGAAGAACGTAACTGTAGCGGCAGCTGCTGCCACAGCACAAGTATCTTCACAGTTTGACTGAAGGTATGTGGTGGCGGCAGCCATTTTGTGGCCATGCCAGCCACACTGTGTCAGAATTCCAAAGGTACCCACAAGCTGAGAGAGGCTGAGGACCCTGCTTCAGACATTACACTAGAAGGGGGTTTGACCTAAACTGCAGTTCAATGTGCCATCTGACTGCTGGCTGCCCTTTGGTTAGGAGGGCAGAAGAACCCTGGGATTCTTAACCAGAATGACATCCCCGTGTGTGAATCCCGGTTTGTAGTAACTTCATTTAGTCCCTGTGTCCAAATGCAGGACTCCCAGCCAATTGCTGCTCCATTCAGTAACCCTGGTCCCCCAAGGCACAGAGTTGTAGTTGCAGATTGGCCATAACCCCCCCCCCCAAAAAAAAACCTTTGCCACTCCTGCTGTTGCCTCTCACGGGCAGGAAACCAGGATTTCTGAGGTGAGTAGTTTTGACTACTGCACAGACTGCAATTATTCACCAGTCCCCTCTTTACAACTCTGGTTCATCAGGGCCAGTGTTCCCTCTAAGCTGAGTTAGTGTGAGCTAGCTCACAGTTTTTTAGCCTCTGGCTCACACATTTCTGTCTTAGCTCAGGAAGGATGGCTCCAGAGCAAACTAATTTATGCAGCAGCCAAGTTGCTCGCTCACAACTTTAATGCCAGTAGTTCACAAAGTAGAATTTTTGCTCACAAGACTCCATAGCTTAGAGGGAACATTGAAATGTTTGGTATAGCGGTTAAGTGTGCGGACTCTAATCTGGGAGAACCGGGTTTGATTCCCCACTCCTCCACTTGCACCTGTTGGATGACTCTGGGCAAGCCATAGTTCTGACAAGAGCTGTCCTTGAAAGGGCAGTCCTCGAAAGAGCTCTCTCAGCCCCACCTATCTCACAGGGTGTCTGTTGGGGGGAGGGGAAGGGAAAGGAGTATGTAAGCAGAGACTCGTGAGATATGAGAGGTTCTAGGTTGAAACCTTTTTAATCCAAGGAGCATCTGTTATTCTTGCCTCCTCCTCCACTGTTGTTCTCACAACAACCCAGTGGGGTGGGCTGAGAGAGCGACTGGCTAAAGTTGCCAACAGCTTGGACATTAAAAAGTGTCCTGTCCCCTTAAAAAGAGGATTAATTTTTATTTTTTTATTTATGTAGCGTCTGCAGATTACAGGATATAACCAGTGCAATCAAGAGTGCGTAAAATAACCAATGAGCAATGCAATAGGGCTGCCGTTACAGACGTAGGTATATTATAAATAACACCAAAAGCGGATTACAGGGTAAAGACAATGTTGTAGGGTTGCCAGGTCCCCCCGGCCACTGGTGGGGATTTGGGGGGGGGGGGGGGGGTTGCCAAATCCAGGTTGGGAAACTCCAGGAGATTTGGGGGTGGATCCTGGGGAAGGCCTGGGATTGTACTGGGGTACAGTGCCATATAGCTCACCCTCCAGAGGATTCATTTTCTCCACAGCAACTGATCTCTGTAGTCTAGAGATGAGCTGTAATTCCAGGGGATCCCCAGGTCCCACCTGGAGCCTGGCATCCCTACAGTGTTGTAGAGCAGCTGACACGTACAATCATCACTGCGATGGACTATTCCGTGGTGGCTTCTTGGGCTGCTCGTTCCATTACAGTTCTAACCTTTTTTTAAAAAAAATGCCCTCTAGAAAACTTTCGGTTTTGCACATTTTGTGGAATGACAGAAGCCGAGAGCTCCCCGGACCTCCTCAGGCAAGACCAGCCCACATGGTCATATTCCGCCTTCCAGTGCTGAGTGGGAGCGACCGGTGAGCATGCATGCCCATGAGCAGATGCAAGGCAGGATGTTTGAAAAGTACGCAGAAGGACCAGTGATTTCAGCCTAGCGTACTTTATTAGATCAAGAACAAGACAACCCTAGCCGCCGGCTTATATCCCCGTAAATCCACCACCCAGAACACTCCCCCCCCACCACTTCCCAATAGGTCGTAACTAGTGGCCAAGAGTCCCATAGGCTCTCGGAGGGAGCCTAGCCCTCTGGTTGGTGCGGGCTAGGATCTCCATCTCGGAGTGAAGCTGGATGCTTGCTCTTGACAGCGTGGTGGCCAAGCTGACCACACGGGTCGGAACTTGATACATTACAATGTTGTTTACCAGGTGAAATTATTTCCCTCCGTGCCCTGAAAAGCTTCACCTGCCCATTTCACCACCATGCTGTTAAAGAGGCAGGAGGGCATATCATATTTTACCTCCGGATCTTTGGCAAGTTGGCAACCCTATTCTCCCCCCCCAACCCCCCCCCCCCAACCCCCTACTGGCCAGCATATTATCGGTGGAACGCCCAAGTTTCTGAACGCGCCTGCTGCAGCCGAGACACCCCCAAAGACATTTGCAAAAAAATAAAATGTCGCGGCTCCTTTAAGAGGCAACCGCTAACAGAACCCCTCCCTATCTTTCCCTTTCCTCACCCGCCGCTCTCCTTGCGCGTGCGCACGAGCCCTCGAGCCGCCTGGGCGGTGGGAGACCTGACTGTGGCCGGTACGTTGTGCCGTTTCGAGAGGAGGACGTGGTGGGGGAGGTACGCGCGCACGCGTACGGGAGCGAGTGGGGAGGGGGGCACTGCGGCCCTCAGGTACAATTCGTGTCCCTTTCTCTTGGTCTGTATCCTTCCGCGTGCGAAAAAAAGGGGTTCTTAAGGTAAATAAGGTCTTAAGGTCAATGTGATTTTTTAAAAAAAACTCTCAGTGTGTGTAGGAGAGTTGGGGGCGGTTGTGGTGGGGTGTGTAAAAGCGTTGCACTGCGGAGGAAGAATTGGAGAGGGTGGAGCCAGACGGAAAGGAAAGCCTGGAGAAGGGGGGTGGCTTAAAGAGGTAAATGGCTAGGTGATGGTGTGAAGGGGAGAAGTAAACCGGAGGGGGGGGCAGGAAGGATGGGTGTGCGTTGGTGTAAACTATACTTTAGCTAGGATTTTTGTGGTGCTTTCAGGAGAAAGACGAATCCTATTCCAGTATAGGTTTTCCTGGAATTTTTTTAAAAAGTCTTTTAAATGCCACAACAAGGCTTCTGTTTGCTTTGCTTGCAACGGGTTAAAAAAAGAGGGGGGGGAGCACACCTCTGGCCCAACGGTGTGAGGCTAATAGTGATAGTCCTGCCTTCTGCCCACTCTGATCAAAAATTGCCCCCCCGGTGTGTTACTATTTTTCACCATCGAAGTTGTTAATGTTATGAAGCACCTAAAACCTGTATGTGTTGAACTAAAAAAAATTAAGCACCAGAGCTCAAAGAATTCATACAGTTCATGGGGACTTTTGGCTGGTGTCCCAGTTGATCTCCCCTTGTCGTTATTTGGTCTCTTTTCCTTCGGGTTTCCTACTCCGCCGCCTTTCCTTGGGCATACCTTTCATTTTCCAACAGCTCCTCCCTTCCCAGTTGTGCTGTTGTCTGTTTATTGACTGAACAAGAGAACACGCTCAGCTGTATAGCTTTAGAAATATTTCCTTGTAAATCGCCAAAGCCTTTTGGTGTATGGGTTGCTTCTCTCTCTCTCACTCTCTCTTTTTAAAATGTGCCTGCGGTCATATATAATACAAAGGCAAGAAACGTGTAGGAAGGTGCTTTCCCGGCTTGTTGCAGATTTTGAAGGAGAGTTTGGGGAGAGTGATTAAGAGCGCTGGCCCGGTAGAAAAGGCTATAAGAGCAGTAGAGTGTGGAAAATTGGAAAAGGTCAGGGTTTGGGGAGAACATGAAGGGATTGTGAAGAGGAGAGGGGTTGCCATTGGTGTATAGAGGTGTAAATGGAGATGGGAATGAAGGTATAGAAGTCAAGAGAGTGAAGGAAGGGGGGAGTAAGGAAAGTTACTTTTATAATTGTTCTCATTGGGTAATAAATCCCTGTTGGTCAGTTGCGGCAAAGCAAAACAGAAGGCCAGTGACATCTTACAGCCTAGCAAAATTTATTCCAGTATGAGCTTTTGTGAGTTAGAACTTTACTTCATGAGTCCACGTATAATGAGGACATCGGTATTATTTGTTTGCTTAATTTGTTTGCTTGCTTCATTTATACTGCACTTTTCTCCTTAATGGAAACTCGAAATGGCTTACAACATTCTCCCTTTCTCCATTTTATCCAATAACCTTGTGAGGTAGGCTAGGCTGAGAGAGTGTGAGTGGCCCAAGGTTGCCCAGCAGGCTTCCATGGCCGAGTGGGGATTCGACCTTCAGTCTTCCAGATCTCAGTCCAACTCTAACCAACCCATCATGCTATTAAGTTTGCATGATGTACTAGGTGCTTTACAGATGTTATTACTTTCATGCAATTGGGGCCTTAGGGAAGTCTGGAGTTGGTTTAGATGTCATTTGAATGATTGTTTAAGAATTCAGGATTGGGAATTTTACTTCCTTGCCTTTGTAGGCTTACTGTTTGTTCACTTGCTCAGTCTCCCAGCTGGCCAGCCTTCCCACCTGCTCCTGTGTCCAGGCCAGAGGGTGAAATGTAGGAAGCAAAAAATGATGTGATGCAACACATCAGCACCTTCGGGAAATATAATTTCTACCCTTCCCCCAAAACTCCCAGATGTATCAGGTGATGGCCTAACAGCCTTATGCATTATCACTCTGGCCTTCCATGCAGTTAGCAGTTCTGAATGGGAAAACTTCTCCTGCACATTTCTGTTGGACAAGTGCTGGTCTGAATGGTGTACGTGATAATGTGATGCTTGTTTCCTAGCAGGGCATTAGTATGAAATGACATACTTCAGAGTAGATTCAGGTGGGCAGTCATGTTGGTCTGAAGCAAAATAACAACATTCAAGTTCAGTGACATCTTTAGGACCAACTTTAACTTTGTTGGTCTTAAAGGTGCCACTGAATTTGAATTTTATTCTTATACTTCAGAGTGTCTGAAGTCTTTTATCTTTATTCAGTACTTCCTCATAACAATCAACCCTTTTCTCAATCTGTGAGGATGGTTGATTTGGAGAGGGATCAATACCTGTCCATTTCTACTTATTCTTGGAGTAGTTAGTACCTCCTTGTGTCTTCTTGTTGTTGTTGTTGTTGTTCAGTCGCACAGTCGAGTCCGACTCTTCGCGACCCCATGGACCAGATCACGCCAGGCCTTCCAGTCTTCCACCGTCCTCTGAAGTTTGCTCAACTTCATGTTCGTTGCATCTATGACACTGTCTAACCATCTCAATCTTTGCCGTCCCCATCTTCTTTGACCTTCAATCTTTCCCAGCATCAGGGTCTTCTCCAGTGAGTGCTCCCTTCTCATTTGGTGGCCAAAGTATTTGAGCTTCAGTTTCATTATCCGGCCTTCCAGGGAACAGTCAGGGTTGATTTCTTTTAGGATTGACTGATTTGATCTTCGTGCAGTCCTTGTGTCTTACTTAATGTTTCCTTTCCTTAACTTGATTCTGATTTTATAGTTTCTCAGGTAGAAATTAAGTGTGCATGTACGTGATACTTATAAAGATTTTGAAATGATGTTGTACAAGCCTTTCATATCATACAGGTATGAAACATACGGATATGAAAATAAAATATAGCAGATATGAAAATAAAGTATAGCAAGATTAAATAGCCAGAATGCTGTACCCTCTGATTAAAATACAATGAATGCATCAAATAATATGTAGTGCTTCTGTTTATTAGATGTCCATTAAAGATGTTTTCAGATATTTTGCCATTCCTCCCTCCCTTCTTTTACTTTGTACATGGAAATTGTAGATCTAGAAGAGTTGGTTAACTTTGACATTTTAGTTATACTTCCATTTAACAGCCCAATCTCTTGGGAGTTAGCTTGCAGTATGACTTCAATAGCATCACATTCTTGTTGTAATTCGGAATAGCTTTGGGCAGCCAGCTAAAGTCACATTTAAATGTTTTCTATTGGAAAGATATGTGGGGGACAGAGCCCTATCTTAAGTGGTGAGTTTCAAGCAAGAGAGCAATTGTGTGTAGGCTAAGAAGTTTTGGGAAGTCCCTGGTTCAAATGCCACCTAAAACCATGAATTCACTAGGTTGCTCTAGAGCTTTAAAGCCCTGTATGGTCAGGGTCCGGCTTACCTTAGGGACCGCCTCTCCCCGCATGTTCCCCCAAGGGCACTACGGTCGGGGAACCAAAATTCCAGGGCCCAGAAACATCAAATTTGCGGTTACCAGGGCTAGGGCGTTTTCGGTGGCGGCTCCTACCTGGTGGAATGAGCTCCCAGAAGAGTTCCGCAGGGCCTGTAAAACGGAGCTCTTCCGCCAGGCCTTTGAATAGGAGCCACCACCACCATCTTTATGCCACCATTATGACCATCATTCCATCTACGCCCCCCCCCCTTTATTCCTGCAAACAGAGCGGGTACTATTGGGGGGCGCGAGATGTTCCTGGCAGAGGACAACGCTGTAGGGATGTATATTGTCGCTGTTATATATTGTTATTATTGCTGTTTGTTGTTTCTAGTATAAATAATTATAGAACCCCATCTTGAATTTTATAGCTAAGTATTTCTGGAGCACCGTAAAGAAATTTTTAGCGAACTGTATTTATTGTATTTTATATTTACTGTATTGTTTTAATGTTTTAACTTGGGCACTCGTGCCCCTTGTGAGCCGCCCTGAGCCTTTGGGGAGGGCAAGATACAAATCCAAAGATAAAATAAATAAATAAATAAATAAATAAAAGTCATGCTCTCATCTTTGCTTTCTGCCATCCGTACTATGGAGGTAATAATACATGGAATTCTTGTAAGGATTAGAATCAATTTGAACCTTCAAAAACGTTATGGAAATGCTTTAATTTCATTAGATGACACATCCTTGAAATTTTCTTTGCAATAATAGGTGTTGCCGGCATAGTATATTAAATGAGTGCAAGCTCTGAAAATAAGAGGAAACCCAGTTTGATAATGAGCAGCTGCGTCCAACTTGAGTCTTTAATGACCCACACTGGACTGTGCTTGTCTTGCTGTCGAGCACTAGGAGCCAGTCGCTTTATGTGGAGCGTGTGAAAGATGCCAGGCGTTAATATTCACTCTCTCTTTTTCCTTCCTGCCTGTTTTAGGAGCCGTGGATGAAACAGGATGCTGAGCTGTTTGGTCTGTGCGCCTGAGGCTTGCGCTGGGGCATCTCCTTGTGAAAACCGCACACGATGAAAATGCTTCCCGGCGTGGGGGTGTTTGGGACCGGGAGCACCGCTCGGGTGCTGGTTCCTCTGCTGCGGGCAGAAGGCTTCTCCATCGAGGCCCTCTGGGGGAAGACCGAAGAGGAAGCCAAGCAGCTGGCTGAGGAAATGAATATTTCCTTCTATACCAGCCGGACCGATGATGTTCTGCTGCATCAGGATGTGGACCTGGTTTGCATCAACATCCCCCCACCGCTGACCCGACAAATTGCCGTGAAAGCTCTAGGTACTGTTATATTGCCTGTTGCACTGGAGCAAGTTGTTCTGGCTCTCGAAGGAGACCCGCTTCCTCTGTTGTATACAGCAACTGGTATCCGATGGTGGTTGCTGTGTAATTGACGACCGTACCGTAAACCATATGTTTCACTTCAGAGCGTTACTTTTGTATCACATGGCTGTGATATCCTGCAAAAATCTAGTGTGAGTGAGGATAGTCATAGAGCAGAATGTGCCGGTGGAAAGTGCTGTGAAATGTCAGCCAACTTAGGGCAACCCCATAGGATTTTCAAGGCAAGAGAAAAACAGAGGGGGGTGGCCTTTGCCTGCCTCTCTGTAGCAGCCCTGGACTTCCTCGGTGGTCTCCCACCCAAGTACTAACCAGGGCCAATTCTGCTTAGCTTCTGAGACCTGATGAAATAGAGCTAGCCTGGGCCAGAACAAAGTGTTGTGTTACAAAAATAAGCGACTTCCTGTCTTGATTTGTGGATACCAACTGGGGTGACGTGGGAGGGGAGCCTACTGCACGCACCAATATGTAATGTCCGACATAGTGGGGAAATGATTCACTGGAACCCATTTCTGCTGTTGTTATGGATAAGTTTTCAATGGGTTAGTTAGCCTTTCTGAGGACTGGACAGTAATTCATTCCTTATTCAACAGAAGTAACAGGGTGAGAGCGGCAATCCCCCCCCCCCCCACATTTTGTCATGGGGGGGAGCCGCAAACCCCCCCCCACCCCAATTTTGTCAGGCAAGCATCAGTATAGGAGAGGAAATGTTGCAGTTAGGTACTCACAGAAAGGACGCAGAGCCCAGTCGTTTGTCTGTGTGCATCCTTTCCGGTTATTACAAGTATGGCAGAGACTTCTGTGTTTGATAAACAGGAAGCAGCAAGGTGAAAGTATCTCTTGGAACAGATTTCACATTCTTTCTTAAACGGGGTTGACACAAGCAGGCAGGCCTCCAAAACAAGGATGGTTTTTACAGAGGTTAGAAGGGGAATCTTTATAAACATGTGATTAAATTAAGTTTCCGCATTCCCACAGCCCCCGAAGGACAGAGCAAAATACACCAGTGTATTCCTTCACTGACCACTAGGCGTCTGCAGAGACCACGTCATGATATCTTGTTTCCCCACACTCATGGATCCAGGAGAAATTCTGCAGAAGGGGAAATGGCTGCTACCTCTTGGTGTGGTTTGATATTCTTCCAGAAGCGAAAGGCTTATTAAACTTTATAGGGAACACCGGCAAGAAATCTGGGCTTGGTGCTTGTTAGAGTGCAGAATGAAACTCAGCAGCTGCTTCGCCAGTCGCTGAGCAGCCGATCTTGGCTTCTGTTGATGAGACTGGAACTTGAAGCAGGGAAGGGGCTCAGGTTGGCCATACTGATTTCTGAAGGACAATTTAGTTTTACTTGAAAAGTGTTCCGGGAGCAAATGCTTCTTTAGTGCTAAAAAAGGATAATTGGCTGTCTAAATGCAGAGCGGATGGGATTGGTGGTGGTGGGGAGTGTCCCATTCCTGTGAGTCAAGCTGATTCTCTCAAGGCCGCAGTGTGGTACAAAACTGCATGTGCAAATTTGAAGGGATCCTGCAAAATTTATCACAACTGGGACTTGAGACCAAAATGCAGACATGACGCTCGGGGTATGGCAGGGACTTGGTGGAACCCTGCTATTGTCTGCCTTCATAATAAGAGTATTTTTGAAGCGCCTCAAGAATTAAACTCTGTGCAAAACATTAAAAAAAAAAAAGATGCCCTGTTCACTGGCCTTGCAGTCTTAATTTAGACAGAAATAAAATCAGCAGACTAAAAACCGGAGGAGGAGGTCAAAAGTAATTAGTCATAGGTCAATTGAAACAAATGTGTCTTAGGGCTTTTTTTTTTTTTAACGAGGATCAGTTAAATGAATATTGGCTGCTGTAGATAAGGAACAATAAGAGGAAAAGCGTGAAGATAGGAAATGGAGGGAGAGAGGCAGAGTTTAACAAGCAATTAAGAACCAGAAGAATGCAAGGCCTGGGGAGGAGACTGTGGAGATAGCAGAGGCTGGAGATAAGCCGGAGCTTGAGGATAATGAATATGCTTCATAACAAGCTGCGGAATCTTAAATTGAATTCAGAAAGGAAGCGCGTGAAAACAGCATGAAAACTTGACTGAATGGGCAGGCAGGACAAAAAACAGAACAGGTTGCAGAATGCAAAATGGAAACAAGAGGCTGAAGGTAGGAATAGAGGGTGTGTGTAAAGTGCCATCAAGTCACAGCCGTCTTAGTGACCCGGAAACGAAGTGGTTTGCCATCGCCTGCCTCTGTGTAGCAACCTTGGACTTCATTGGTGGTCTCCCATCCCAAGAACTAACCCTTTTTCACTTTTGAGAAGATTGGGCTAGCCTAGGCCATCCAGATCAGGGCAAGAAATAGGGACAGCTGGCTAAAACTCAGAGAAGGGCAGTTTATAAATTGAAATTATAAATTAATAAATATAAAAGAGCACTACAGTTGAGGCAAAATATAACCCCCCCAAAATGGGCAGAATCAACAGAAAGATGGGATTTGAGGCCGAATCCTTCATGTTAGGAGATCTAATATCATTAGCCTGGAAGCTCTGATATTTTAGAAAGTGTTATAAGCATGGAATCAGGGCCATGAAATGCCTGTGCCGTGGTCCAGCTGTGTTTAAGCTCTGATGCTCTTTGAGTTTGGAAAAGGTTCACAGAAAAAAAAGCAGTTCAGATTAATAATACTTTTCCAGGTAT